GGGGGGCGTCAGGCGTCCATTAGCAGGCTGTACCTTTGAAGGTGAGAAGTAGAAAATTGCCATGGGCGTCGTCAGATTTATTTCTAAACGTAAGCCAGTCGCATAAAAAGATTAGCTAAAGATTATATTATTGATCTGTCCTTATTGGATTTAATACATGTATAATATTCTGTTTTGACTGGGATCTGCTTTGACTTCAGTCGTAATCAACATTTATAGAGTTACTCTGTGTGCATACAGGGCTTTTATTGCACGCTTTTTTTTTTAAAGCCTTTTTGTCAATTTTTTTCCCCCGATGGTTTTGAATTCGAGTTTTGAGTCGCGAAGTGGCAAGTGTGTCTGACTCTTACGTTTGTTCGACCAGCCGGTGCACCCGTTTTCGTCCACATCTTCGTTTCGCTATCTGTTTTCGTCCCACTTGCTTTTCTTCCATTACGATTTTACCCGATGTCGTCCCATATTGATCCGATTACTTATAGATTATAGGCGTAATTCAAAAATGAAAATTGTGGGACAAAACCGGATGCTCCCCCTTCCAGAGAACAGAAATGAGATTAATGTTGTAGGTTCTGTCTCAATTAATTCTTGTGAAAGTTTACCTAATGGCTAGGCTACCGGACTCGTAATCGTGAGATTGCAGGTTCGGGGTTCGAGCCTCAGCTCGGTCCGACGTTGTGTCCTTGGGAATGGCCAAACTTTACACTTGAGAATGTCCCACTTGGCTCGGTCCTTTCGGACATGGACGTTAAACTAGGGGGGTCCCGCCTCTTAAATAACCTAACAGTGTTGATAGGGGCGTTAAACCTATACCGTTTCACCGTTTCTTGTGAAAGTGACGTAAAGTGTAGGCCTATTATATATTGTACATGTTCTGAATTTAGACAATAAGCTTAACATCGACTGTTTTGCCTAATTTTGTCAAATTGATGACAGACAGACAGACAGACAGACAGACAGACAGACAGACAGACAGGCAGACAGACAGACAGACAGACAGACAGACAGACAGACAGACAGACAAAAG